GGAGGCGCAGCGCATTAACGCAGGCGGAACAGCTGCGACCTCAGCGGCACCGACGACGTCTCGGACGACAGAAGCACCCAGGAACCACAGCCGGCGCCGGCGGGTTTCCGGAGCAGGACGCAGTCACCCCCGAGGACGTGGGCAAGCTGGCGAGCAGACAACGGTGCAGATGCGGAAAGACGCGGGTGAAAGGCTGGGAGCAGCGGGGTGCGGACGGGGCTCTGCTCTGCCAGGGTCTAAGATGCCGAGGCTTTCCTGCCGTGCAGATGCCTCAAGGTCCTGCGGGGCGTCCGATAAAGTGCAGAGGAGTCTGGGTCACGAGAGGAATGGCGGGGTCAGCCTGCCGTACTGGGGTTGGAGGGTGTGAGGCCCGACAGCCAGGCTGAGCGGCAGGAAGGGGGAGGGTGGCCCGATGCTGCCCTCGATGGCAGGACGAAGGGACAAGGACTGTCCCTAACGTCCGCTCTGGCGGTGCGCCTCAGCCCCTGCCCAGGGGAACGATGACCAGACCGGTGCGGCAGGACAGCACAGAGCACGCTTCCTCTGGGGGTGCTGCACTGCAGCACAGCGGCGTGTTCTTGTCTCCTACCTACTTCTCTCCCCCTCAGTGTGCTGTGTGTCTGCTGCCAGCGGATCCCGGGAACCCTGAGCCCCAGGTGTGCTCCTACTGTGTTTTCACAGGGAGCCCTGTAGTAGGTGTCGTGGGTGCTACTGGGCTTCACTAAGGCAACTCACAACAGGTGAATGCCGTCAAAACCTACTACATACGCTAGCATATGTTGTTCTGTGAGATCACACAGCACCACATGCTACAAATTCCCCATCAAACATGCTCACCTCAGTGTGGCCTCAGTGCGCCCTGGGTTATGGCACAGCCAAGTTCCCAGACGCCGCGGTGACAGCCCTCACACCAGAGCCTCCCACGCTCTGCAAGTGCTACACACACAGGAGGAAGTACAGCCAGGGCACCATGCGCCCTGCAGGCCCGCGCTCCAGGCTCCGGAGGGTCCCTGACAACCCACTGCATCAGTGCGCTGTGCTATTCACCAGCACCCAGGCTCGGCCACCACACGGTATATTGGGGCGTCAGTTATGCCGGCAGTCCGAAGGGACCCTCCGCCCACTCCTCTGTGCCTCATGGGGCAAGTACAGAGTGTCCACAAGGTGCCAGGAACGGGCAGGGGCTGGGGGTCCAAGGTGAGCACACCCCGAGCTCTCCAGCAGCTCTGGCCCGTCCTAGTGTGGGCTGACTCAAGAGCCTCACCGCCGGGCTGTGTCAACCTTGCACCTACGGAATCAGAGCGATCCTTTAAAACTCAAAGTCAGGTCAAGCTATTTCTCTGCTCACAACTCCCCAATGGCCACAGCCCTCGGACGGCCGCTCCTCTTAGCTGGAGTAGAAGCCAAAGATCCTACAGTGGCCTCGACCACCTGCCCTCCATGGCTGCTCTCACTTCATCACCTTTTGTCTCTGTGGCCACTCAACTCAGCTCACGGATCTGGACTCGGCTGCCCCTGAACATGCCAGGCAGGCTCCTGCCTCCAGGCCTCTGCACCTGTTGCTACCACCCGAGCCGCGCCCCACCCCCACACACTTGGCCCCTCATTCCCTCGCCTTCCTCCCCTCTTTGCTGAAATGTCCCTTTCTCTGCGGGCTTCCCATCCACCGTTCAGAACTGACCCTCCCTGACCCAGCTCTCCCATCCCATCTCTCTACAATGCTATTCGACTTCTACCACATTCACTGAGTTCTGTTTACTCTTCGCCCACTCCCTCTAAAAATGCTTTCCACGAGGGATTTTTATTGCTTTTATTGCTGTCTCCAGCACCTGGAACAGTTCCTAACCTCAACACACACCCGCTGAACGGGTCACCCGCAGCGCGCGGCAAGGTCGTCACCGAGGACAGAACCCACCGAGGACAGAACCAGAGCTTCTGCTTCTCAGCCCCGCGCCCCACCCTTCTCCAGCAGCACCCGCCCACCACACTGACCCAGGGCGGCCTGCGTGCACCCGAACCACGTTCACCAGCACTGAAGCTCATCGCCCCTTCAGCACGACCCTCGCCACGCGACGGTGCGGCGGCCACAACCGGCCAGCGCCACCCCTCAGATCACATGCCCTCCCCTGCTACACAGGTATGGTGTGGCCAGCAGCAACCTCACCCGGGTGTCAGCGAGGCGGAGTCTCAGGCTGGACCCCTGACCCGCTGCGTCACAACCCGCCTTTCACTCGACATCCAGGTGGTGCGCGCAGTCAGTCTGAGGAGCTCCGCTGGGCCGCCCCGTGGCACCCCCGGCACTGGCAGGGGTCCCAGCCCTCCACGTGCAGAGTCCAGCCCCCCACACCCTGCACCCGCAGATCCCTCGCCCGCACCCCTCTGGGGCACACCGCACACCCACACGATGCCAGGACCAATGCAGTTCTGCGCCCACACTGCAGCCCTGCCGGAGCGGGGCAGTAGCTTCCACAACAGCCATTTTAGGTGAGACACCCCGCTGCACGTGGGAATCCAGCGTGCTCTACTCCACGCCCCACGGAACCGTGCACGCCCCAGCAGAATCGCTGCGGAACCTTATTCTAGAGCCTTACATTCACCCACTCCCTGCGCTTCGCCGTGGACAGGGCTGCCACGTCCTCCGGTCTCGTCAAGAAGGCACACACGGTAAGGCACGAGGAACGATGACAGAGCATGGTGAGCTTGCTGGGAGGACACTGGGACAGGGTCCCGCCCGGACCCGCCAGAGCTCCCCAGCCGGCAGCCAGGCCCAGGAGGGCCAGGTGGCGGAGGGCTCTGGGCACCCCGGCGGCGCTGCGTGGACAACGCCGGCAGGAAAGACCAGGCAGAGCGAGAAGTCGAAAGTGCTGCTTCTCGTCAGGACTGAGGGGGGGGGGCACAGGCTGCACCTCAGAAGCCCCGGAAAGCATGTACGCTGAGGAACAACAGACGTTCTTCTGGGGCAGCGAAGCCGTGGGCCACTCTGCACCCGGAGCCCACACGTGGAAGCTAGTGCACCCCCGTTTCGGGAACGTTGTGACAGCCGCTTGCTACCAGGCAATGAGAACCTAAAACCTCGTTTAAAATGACTCTAGTGACCTGCTAAACAGCACCCTTCGGCGACATCTGAGCACACACATCTGAGCACATCGCCCGCGTTTTTCTCACTGAATTCTGTGCCATGGCCTGCCTGTGACTCGCAGGCCCCTCCAACCCCGAGTGTACACGCAGACACTGTCTTCAGGAATGGCCCTGGCAGGACCCGACGCCGCGCCCCTCAGCGCCGGGCACCGCTGCCGTAAGCCGCGCTCTCCTGGGGCGCAGAGTGCCTCGTGCACCGAGCGGGCTCCTGCAGAAACACCGCTGCCACGGTTACAGATGGCGAAACAGGAGCGGAGAGGCAGCTGCCTCCTCCCAGTTCACCATCGAGAGAACAGCAGAGACTGCTTGTCGGCCCACTGCGCTCACTGAGTCAGGCGCTGGTGGGAACACGGCGCCCGGCCGTGTATCTCAGACAGATGTGGATCACCTGGAGGGCAGTAGGCACCTGGAGGTGATATCATACAAGACATGCCTGCAGGGGTGGGGTGGGGGTGTTGTTAACTGGGAACCCCAGGCCTCAGGAGCATGAGAGCAGCATCTGCGTGTCTGGAGGATGTGCTGGAGATGGAGGCTCTCGGTGACAGAGCAGGACCGGGGAGCAGTTCGGGAGGCTGATCTGGTACCCCTGTGCAACAATGAGAAGGGCTCCCCGGTGAGCTGGCTGACTGAGGGACCCGCTTCCTGGCACCAGGAAGTGTCCAGAGAGAACGGGGACTCACCAGGGCTGCTGTCGTCTCGTCGTTTGCGATGCACAGGACTGGGGAGAGGAGGGGGTCACCTGGGCGGCGTTCTCAAGCCACCCACCCTCTGCCCGGTATTCTGCGAGCCTCTGAGGGGTCAGCCTGGTCCTGGCTCCCGCACACTGGCTGAGGGGCAGGGACAAAGCCCTCAGCTTCTCCGAGACCCTTCTCCTCCTCCATCACGAGGAGTCACAGGTGTCGTGAGGATCTGCTCGGATGCCCCTGTGGAGCTCAGCCCAATGCCTGGCACACAGCGAGTGGCCAAGGATGAGGGACAGGGACAGTAATAAGAGTGTGCACCATGATCATGGTCATTCTCTTCACACCAAGTCCCTCACACCTCAGCTTTCTATTACATTTATGTTCAGTCTTCAGCCTCACAGCCCGTAGTAAAGTCACCGGGTCTCCGCCCTACTTGCTCTGACGGACTGAGCCTCCCGCAGGACCGCCTCTGGCTGACTCGGTGCTGCCGGCACTGGGACGAGCGCCCGAGGCCCAGCGGGGCGAACCTGGACACCTGCGGCCCTAGTCGCAAACGTCCTCTCCGCGCACAGCCACTCCCAGCCTCCGGCGGTCTGCGAGCAGGTCAGCCTCTCTTTCGTTTCCTTTCCCTTATTTACGGACTGAGACACAGTTTATGTTTCAGAATGAAATGTAAATCCTTGGAGATACACAACACGATCTTTGCCATGTCAGCATGGAGAGAAAAACGAGACTGTCAAGCCAAGGAAAGCACGAGGGCAAACTGAGAGTCTTTCTAGGGGAGGGGGACGTGCCCCTGGCAGGAACCGAACCCAGGACTCTCTGGTCCGCAGGCCGATGCTCCAACCACTGAGCCAAACCAGCCAGGGCCAAAACGTCCGAAAGTGGATCTGAACGCCGCTCGCCAGAGAGCCACCCCCACAGAGCTACCCGCAACGACAGCCCCGGGAGAGAACTGGCCACACACACACTCGATATCCGGCCTCTTTCCCACATTCGCCGAGGTGCATGAATGGAAATCTCCATTTCTGTCCCCGTGACCCGGTACCGCAGTGTCGGAGTGTGAGCGATCCACGGGGCTGTGTCCACGTCCGCCCCTGAGCAGCGGGGGTGCCCGCCACCAGGCAGGCACAGCGTGTGGTGTGTGTGGCCAGCGGCCGGAGGGAACAGTCTACTTACGGCTTTTGGCTTGTACGGGGGCTGAATCTCTTTGCGCTCCAGTTTCTCCCAGTCGATATACCGGAAGAAGGCGTGCTCCTTGATGTCGCGCTCGCCTTCGGGCCCACAGCCCAGACGTTTGCCTGGGTGTTTGGTCATCAGCTTGGGAGAAACAGAAATGTTCGATTTAATGAACTTCAGGAGGTCACATCTGAGACACAGAAAGGATCCCTCTAGTGAACCAGGGAAGAAAGCACATTACAGTGTCCCAACTAAAACTAGTACAGAATAACATTGAATGTAAACTGTAACTGAAAAAAAAAAAAAGGAGCCCCAACTAACGCTTGTTTTTTGCTTTTTGTCGCAGCAGTAAGTTCACGGCCGAGGGCTCCGGAACAGGCGGCCCAACAACAGTGCTGCGGCTGCTCGTCCCACAGCAAGACCCCTATGACAACCAAGCCCAAACTTCAAGTTAAAAATGTCACACAGCGAATTCTGGTTTCAGAATACGTTTTATGCAGCCCTGGCTGGTGTGGCTCAGTTGGCTGGGCATGTCCCATGCTCCAGGAGGTCACGGTTCACTTCCTGGTCTGGGCACATGCCCAGGTTTTGGGCTCCATCCCTGACAGGGGGCGTGCAGGAGGCAGCCGACTGATGTTTCCCTGGCTCACCCATGTTTGACTCTCTCTCCCTCTCCCTTCCTCTCTCTCTAAAACCAATAAAAACATATTTTTTTTAAAAGGAATATGTTTTATGCAATTACTGCTGCATTTAATGAGAACAGTTTCAGTATCATCAAACGCTCCCCCCACCATGAGATAACTGGAGTTTAACCAAGGCAAAGGCCGCGGTCATTCAGGTAACATTTGCATTTCTCAGTTAAAGCCCTTGTAAAAATGACAAAACAGAAAATAAAATATTAGTCAAATGGACCCAAGTTTCAAGTAATTACTTTCTGAAAGCTCATTAAATAGTCAAAACCTAGCCCAGCTCATTTCCCTTCTATCACATATTACACTAGATTCCGCTGAGGTTTCTTTGGTGTTCCATTTAAATTACTTAATTATTAAAACCCTCCATCCTTGGGTCTCTGAGCCAGCGCTAAATAACAAGATGAATAGATGCCCCGAGATGAATCCAGACAGCCTTCCTCTTGTAAATGGATGCGCAGCAGCTTGAAGACACCTGCAAAGTGTAGGCGAATCGCTCAGGACAGAGCCGGCGCTGCTATGACTCTCTCACGCGCAGGGTGAACACGGCCAAGTGGGGAGTTTTTAAAAGTACCGACGAGAGGGCATCAAGAGGAGAAACAAAGGTGTCTGAACATACAGGTCCAAGAGGCTCCCCAGAGTTGACCAGACACCAAGTAGCCCAGGATGTCAGAACCTTGAACTGGGGCCCAGAATGTGGTGATTATGGGGAAGGGAGGAACCCAGCGAGTCACACCTAGTCCGCCGCCCATTCAGCTCAGCTGCTTCCTGCTTCCGAGATCCTTTGTCATCGGTAAACGACCTCTCCCCCACCCACACACTCTCCATATCTGCTTTACCTTCCGGGGGAATAACTGGGCGTTCACGTTCTAAACTACTTCCTCATTTCCATGCACACTCTTACCTGACCTGACAGTAACCCCTGACATGGGTATTTTATTTCTCCCATTTGAATGACAAGGCAGTTGACTCTCAGAGGTTAAGCAACTAGCAAGGACTCAAAGACAGTAAGTGGCAGAGCCGAGACTGGATCCCACCTCTGCTAACTGCAAAACTGGGCTTGAGAAACGGAAGAACCCTCCGTGTGCTTTCCCCGATGTGTGTGCTTGGCCCGAAGGGTCTGAGGGGGCGAGCAGGCTGAGCCTTGACGCTTGTGCAGGATGAGGAAGGAGGGAAGAAAGGCTATGCTGTCGTGGCCGTAGCATGGCTGCCAACAGCATCAGCGACGTCTGCTCGCAGCCGTCACCCACCCACTTTCATCTTCACAACAACATTTCTGAGGTCTTAGCAACTAGTATCCTCATTTTCCAGACAAAGAAACTGGGCCCGGTAAGGGAGGCATTTGTCCCAAGTCACCGGTCAAGCAGCAGAGCTGCCTGTACAGTCCGGTCGAGGCCTGTGGCTCCGTCCTGGGTCTCGGCCTGTCTGCACCGGCCCAGCCGACGGGGCTTCTGTCAGCTTGGGGTTTGCTTGAAGTGGGAGCAGCTATCTGAGCAAAGACTGAGTTTTTCCTTCGGTAAAAAACAGGGTTTTTAATAGGAAGGGTATAGAAAGAGCATTTCCATTGGATTGGGACCAGATTCAAAAGCCTTGCTTCATGTTCATGTCAGCAAGAGGATGCCAAGCAAGGAAAAGCCGCTCAGGAGGGCCAGCTCTGAGGCCGGGCTCTGCCCGCCCGGCACTCCCTCCGCTGAGGCCCGAGCTATGCAGACAGCCGGATTCAATCAGTGCTCCATCCCCAGGGCCTCCCAGACGGTCCCCCGGGGCCCGCTGCTCAGGAGGGAGCATCTGGTTGTTCGCCTGAGCATCACCTCCACTTTGGAGGCTCCACCTTGAAGAATGAGCCCATACTGGACTCAGGCCACTCAATTCAGAAAGGTCTCCAAACCCAGTAACTGGAAAGTGACCCCAGTTAACCCTGAAGGTTATGGGTCCTAAATTAATAGAAATCTGCTCTACCAGGGACATTGCTAATTGGAGCAGAAGCTGAATGCGGCTGACCTGGAAACCCCTCTCCCAGCCGTGGCCCACTTAGAGCCTGTGCCCTGGCCGGCCGCGCTGTGTGGGGGAAGGTCCTGAGCAGGCACCTACTGTGTGCCAACACCACTCGTGGAGCTTTCTCTTAGGTTACGTTCTTCAACGCTCTCAAAAACTCAGCTCGATGAACACTATCACTTCATTTTCAGAGGCAAAGAAACAAAATCCCAGGAGATGCAAAGTAACTTGCTCAAGGCCATGCGCCCAGGAAGTGGAAGGTCGAGATCTGCGAAGAGGCCCTGGACGTCCCGAGTCCTCACTTTAAAATCCCTGTTGCGGAGGAGCCAGTGGGACTGCCAAGCGCAGCCTGGCACGTGCAGCATTCAGAGTGGTAACAGCAGGAGCTCAGGGGTTGGGCAGGGCTTCGGCTCTCTTCTAAGTGATTCACATATACTAACTCCTGAATCACCGAGGACCCTGGGGGTAGTCCTGTCATCCCTGGTCTACAGAGGTCACACAATTTCTCTGCGGTCAAAGGGCTAAAGATGCCGGGATCAGGATTTGAACCCAGATCACATTGGGCCAGATGGGGATTTTGGCGACTTGGAGGGCACACGCTCTATGCAGAGGGGGCACTGATGCTTTGCAGGAACGGCAGGTCAGCACCACGAGACTGCGTTGTTCACGACACCGGACAGCTGACTGTATGAGAATCCCTGGCAACCACGAAGCAACCGAAAGCACGTGCACGACCTCTCCGCCACCGTGAAGTCCGGGGGCTGCGCAGGCCTTCCTCTGCGCCTTTCCGGCGAGCCTCGCTTCAGCCCTATGCAAGTGTGGTCTCACTTCCCTGCCCTGCCTCACGGCGTCAAAGATATTTTTAACCAGTTCACTTTAAGATGTTAGAGACTGAGCCTAATCCACATGCCATTTCCAGGGGTGTCTGCATGGTAACCGAGGGGCACCCGAAACGCCAAGCTCAGGCGATTCCTGGTGTCCCAAGGTGCTTGTAGACTGAGAGGCGACCTCCAATGCCGGAGCTCCCCACCCTTCCTTCCCCGGGCCAGTGCCCCTGGCACCGACGGCTCGGGGCCAGCAGGCTGGGTCGGCCGTGGGAAATCGCAAACACTCCAGGACCTAGGCCCGGCGGGCCGGCTTCGTTCAGGTGGGAACCCACAGGGGGAACAGCCACACTGTCACCCTGAGAACACGCCTGCACCGCTGGCTGCTGGGAGAGCAAATGCTTCTGAAGGCGGTATTTCCGGGCCACCCCGTCTGGCGGTCCCTGGGGCTGCTCTCACACTTCCGTCACAATTGAAAAGTTACCACCTTTGGGTAAAATGTTCAAAGGCCTGGGGACCTTGTCAGAATACGGAAGCACATCAGCTCGTCCCAACGGCAGCAGAGGTGAAGCCCACGGAGCTCCAGGGACTGGCCAGCTGGGAGCACGCCCTGGCCCAGCCCGTGCCACCCTCCCCGGAGGGGAGGCTCTGCCTTCTGCACCAGCGCGAGTGGTGGCAGGGTACGCAGGAGGGATGTGCTTTCTGCCCTGTATGGAGTGGGGGAGGGGGCGCAGGGACACAGCCTGCGGGTCAGCTCACCTAGAGAATCCCTTGGAAGCAACGCTGCCTGATATTTTCCTCAAACAGAAGCCACACAGCCCCAGCACTAACCGCGCACGCACAGAGCCACAGGGCTGCCACGGGTGCCACGGGTGCCGCAGACCTCCGCACCCCCGTGGGTCCCAGCTCTTCGGCAGAGCCGCTGGGCCTTGGCTCACTCAGTCCAGTGCGTGTCTGCGTGGGGCCAGAGGCTGGGCCCAGCCAGCAGCCCCTGCCGTCAGGAACGGCCTCGAGGGCACTTTTGTGCAAATGAGAGAAAGGCCCTTTCCTCTGGGAGGCGCAGGTCCAGCCAGGGCCTGGGGTTGGCAAGTGCGGTGAGAGGGGAGCTCAGTCTCATCCCTCCCCCTGGGGAGGGCACCCCAGTGCAGGGCACACTGCTCCGTGCGGACGTCCTGGCCCCAAGCTCTGGTGCTCACATACCCCTTTGCAGATGGCCACAGCCTCCTTGGACATGGACTTCGGGTAGGCCACGTTGTGCTCCATGATGGACTGGAACAGCTCGTCCTCATCCTCCCCCTCGAAGGGCGCCTGCGGGGCAGAACAGAGGGTGCGGGTGCTGCCTGCGCCTCCCGACCACCCAGACCAGCAGACCCCGGGCCCACCGGGAGGCTGCACTCGGGGCTAGCGAAGATGGGGAGAAACGGCCACCAGGCTAGGGTTGCCCTGAGGCCGTGCAAGCCAAGAGGTTCAGATTCACGGGTGGGGGTCAAGCTGACCCTGTCTTCTAAGGAACCTCACAGGTGCGAGTGGCGGAGGACTCTTTCTTACAAATCACTCGAATTCTATTACCTGCCCGGCCAGCATCTCATACAGCAGGACCCCGAATGCCCACCAGTCCACCGACTTCCCGTAGGGCTGGTACGCGATGATCTGGAAGACAGAAGGCAGCCGTCAGCGGCTTGCAGGTTCCGCCCCAGCTCGACCCTGGACCCTGGACACTGCGATGCGAGTGGACCGTCGCCGGGGCGCGTGGAGGGAAGGTCTTCCTCTGCCTGTCACCTGCCTACCGTGAAAGAGTAAACTGACTGTCACAGGTCCAGATGCAGGCCACTGTCTAAAACAGGGGCGGGGAGCCGGGGTCACCCTGCTGCTCCTTTACCTGGAGGAGGAGGCCACCCTTTGCGAGGAGACCCACTGCAGGCGGGGAGGCCTCTGCAACTCACCTGCCTCTCCAGTCGCTGGTGTGGTGTGTTCCCAACACCGCGAGTGTGAACTTGTAAGAAGAAAAACTGTCTTTGTTTCTCATTATAAAAGTAATAGCATTTATACAGTGTGAATATACTTATCACTACTGAGCTGTACATTTAGAAGTGCTAAGATGGCAATATTTGCTTTGATTTACCAAAATTAACAATTTTTAAGTTAAAAAATGTAATAACATTTCTTAATATTTTACTATTTATTTTAACACATTGTTGACCGGCAATTTTACGCAGAAGTTATCTCATGTCACCAGCTATTTTCTCACAATTGTGTATGAAAGTGAAACAATCTAAATAAACTTCAGTACACTTTATTTGTACATAATGAATTTAAATGAAACTTTGTACATATCTGCTACATATTATATTTTATACATATTATATATTTTAGTAATTTTTACAGTTTTAGTAGATTTTTTGTAAAATTATTCCATTTGGTGGTGTATAAATTGGTTTCAGAAACAACTAAATCAAAATATCATCACTAAAAAGTAATTCCGTCACTTCCCTGATGTCGACAGTTATACCCGAAATATTTGAAGAATCCTCCAAAGTTGGTGTAATATCATTTTCAATCCACTCTTCTTCAAAATCACTTCCACTATCAGACCGTATTACGTTTCTTTTTTTTTTTTTTTTTTTTTTTTATCCTCACCTGAGGACATTTTTCCATTTTTTGTTCAGATAGAGCAGGAGGGAGAGAGAGGAAGAGAGAGAGAAAGAAACATCGTTGTGAAGGGACACATCGAGTGGCTGCCACCCGCACGACCAACCAGGGCCGGGGACAAACTGCAACCGAGGTACATGCCCTTAGCGGGAACCGAACCCGGGTCTCTCTGTACCGCAGGCCGACACTCTAACCGCTGAGCCAAACCGGCCAGGGCCGTATTACGTTTCTTTTCTGTCGTTTTGGTGGTCTAATAACAGAACGGTGTGCTGTTCCGAACTTGGACCCTCGGGACGAAGAGTCACAAATACAATAATCCTACATTCCCCTGAGTTTCAGAAACTGAAACAGCTGATGCAAGTGCAAACACTTGTGAGCAGTCAGCCAGGTTTGGGCGTGAAAACTCGAGTTAACTCATGAGCGGTCAACGATGTGTTAAAATACAGATAAGCTAAGAGAATACAACTAAAATCACCTATAGTCCTTGATCATGAGAAAACTTATCATTGATATTTAGTCTATTTCCTTCTAGATTATTTTCTATTAATACATATTAAACTCTGTGTGTGTGTTTTATATAAACATAAACACTGATGTGTGCGATGTTAATAAAGTACTTTATTCCTTAAATTTTTCCATGTTTCCCTGGCCAGTGTGGCCCAGTAGTTATGCATGTCGGCCCTCATGCACCCGCTCCCAGCCAGTCAGGGTGCATGTGGGAGGCAGCCAATCGATGTGTCTCTCTCACGTCAATGTTTCTCCCCCCCCCCACCCCTTTCCACTCTCTCTAAAAAATGAAATATCTATTTTGGGTGAGGATTAACCAAAAATTGAAACAAAGATATAAAATTTCCACGTTAATATTTGTATATCAATACGATCAGGTTTAACTTCATATAGCTCCACTGACTGGCTGCACAAGACCTATCAATTCCCGGCTGACTAGTTTCTCCAGATGCTACAGCACAGACCCTGTAACTGGGCGTTTCAACGCTCGTCCAGCTATTCCCCTGAGGTCAGGGCCTGAGGTGGAAGCCAGCACCTGCAGCTCTCCCAGTCCTACAGAACTGCAGTACGAGTTTCTGTGTGCACCCTGGTAAGTGCAGAGTGAAGTGATACATGTAAAAAAAGATACATTCCTAGAAGAATTGGGGGATAAGCGATATATACAACTTTCAGGCTTTTGATCCTTCTTACAAAATTGTGGGGGCATGGTAAATAGCTGTGACCATCCATGTTTCAGTACACAGGGTGTAAAACTATCTATCAAAGGGGTTACGAGGTGATAGACAAAGGTCAAAGGCCAAGGTCCAGCCTTTGGATCCTGAAGGCTGCCTCCCAGCTGTGTGACCTGGAAGAAGTTACCTGACTCATTTAAGCCCCCGTTTCCTCATCCACCACACAGTCTGTAACAATATCTGAACCATAGGGTTTTGTGAGGTTGGAAGAGAAATATGTGCCACTCACATATACGCCTCAAAATGTTTGCTGTTACTAGCAAGTTCTCTAATTCAGTGATTGCTTGTGCTCCGCGTGTCCGAACAAACCTGGCCCATGTATCGAACGCCAGCCCCCTCAGCTTCCACCTCATCAGAAATGCTGACAGCTCTGTATCACGTCTGTTCCACACCTACACATAGACCCTGAGGACGAGCCACGGGGGACGGAGGGAAAGTGTTCTGTGCGGACACCTCCCTGAAACGTTTCCACACCTTCAAGTACCTCACGTCGACTCGATCCTCATGACACCCTAATGACCTAATCCCTTCACAAAGGAAAACAAGCCTGGGGAGGTGGAGAAGGCACCAGCGATGTGTGGTGGTGGGTGGTGGCGCCGGGTGAAGGCCGGACCCGTGGCGCACCCCACCAGTGGGCTGCAGAGGGGCGGCCTCGCCAGCAGTGCTGCGCGGGCTTCTCGGGCCAGCGGCCGCGTGGCCACCCAGGTACCGCTGGGAAGCACAGCACTGGGCCCCACCCTGCAGAGGTTCTGCCTCGGTCGATCCAGGGTGACACCTGGACACCCCGATTTTAAAAGCTCCTCAGGTGACCGTCAAGTGCAGCGAGAGTGGAGAACCAGAGGTGACTGAACCCATGGCACTTCAAGGAGAAGTGTCTGATGTCCTCATCAGCAAAATGACAATAAGCCAGGGTATGCCACATAGGGAAACCTCCGTGGGCACTGGGAGGACTGATCTTAAAGGATGACTTTCTAATGACTCAAGTAATACAAAAGTACATTTACACTAAAAATTTCACACAGTACGCAGACGGAGCTAGATCCCCGTCGACCACGCCCTTAGCCGCAGAGGCCGATGTCCTAACACCTGTCGTCACCAGACGGCCCATGTTCTTATGCCCTGCACGCTCACAGGAGCCAGACGGCAGTGTTCTGTGTGTTGCTTTGTTTTCCACAAAAGGTATCATGTTGCCTTCATCATGACTTTTTTCTCTTAACAATGTCTCTTAACAAGGCTTCCATACCTACAGACAGAGCTCCGTCTTTTGAACGCCCAGTAGCTCCCTGAGAGATGGCCATTGTTCAGAGAGCACACGCAGGGGCCACCCAAGCTTCGGAGCGGCTGCGTGGCACTCCTGACAGGGACGGCGCACAGCAGCGACCACCCCTTTATCCACAGTCACGGCGGCGTCTGCCAACGCAGCGCCTCCGTGAAGGAGGGTTTGAGTGCACATCCTCCCATCCGCGCGCACGGTGACCTGGTTCCCACCCAAGGACCCGCTGTGGTGAAACAAGATGTAGGCTTTGGGTACTGTGCCATGTTGTTTAGTGACAAGGGGCCTCCTGTCACCACTGTTACGTATCAAGTGACGGTCAAGAGAGAGGAAGTCTAGAACGTCTCTTCCAGGACCGTGCCACGCCCTCACTCCCGTGCCTTACAAACACCAGGAACAACTGCACAGAAAGCCGCCTTCCTGGGCACCAATTCAGAGTAAAAGGAAACTGCCCCTGGCACAAATGTGTGCTCCATGCCGTGTGGGGGAGACTCGTTCGGCAGCTGACGGCTTCCTTGGGAAGGGAGGGGAGCTAGGACCCGAGCTCTGCCCCTGCACTTGTACCTTCATCACAGGAAGGAAAAGTCCAAGTCTCCCAGGGTTTGGCTACGCACCCCGTCGTGTCAGCCCGGGCCTCTCTCCCCCCTTAACAAACATTTCACTGTCACCACTGGGGGATGTCATATGGCCACAAGCCACAGCGGCTTGACCTGGAACTTTACTGGTGTGTGGTGGACGGTTCTTTTGAGTTTTATTTAAATTTTCTCCCCAACCTTGATGTATCTGGAGCCTGAGTTCTGGACCGAGTTGTTAATGTGCAAGTGTGATCTCTAAGGAGCGAGTTAGAGGAGAAGGGTCACCCAGGGAGCGGGAGCCTGGCCAGGGGCGCACCAGCAGGGCTGGCGCGGGCTCACCTCGGGCGCGATGTAGTCCGGGGTGCCGCAGAACGTCTTGGTTGTCGCCCCGTCCCAGATGTTCTCCTTGCACATGCCAAAATCAGCGATCTTGATGTGGCCCTCGGAATCCAGCATCACGTTGTCAAGTTTCAGGTCACTGTTGTGAACATAAGAATTTAGGGGCTTAATAAATAAATGTTATTTAAGTCAACCCATGGCCACTCCGGCCGTGCGAAACACTGTGCTTGGTGCTGGCAGAGTGAGAACGAAGCGCCCCTTGTCCCCCTAACAGCTTTAATGTGGCAGGAAGATCAAGCAGGGTCCAAACACCTCTGTGTTCCCACAGCCAGATGTGCCAAGCTTCTCACGAGGACACAACGAGCCACCAGCCCTGAGAAGACGGGCCCAGGAGGCTAAATGAAGGGCAGTGTCCAGGAGCACATCACGGACCGACGTGGGTACTCAGGGACCCCTTATATTCATAGGACGATATGTTTTTCACAAAGTTATTTTGGTATCTCAGAGAATCATGGAGGGAAAGACTGGTTGAGAGACCTTATTTAATTCTGAAGGCTCCAAGCTCTCCCAGGCCAGTTCCTAGGACGGGACCAGGAGTTTCTGTGCCTTCTTTTAGTCAAAAAAATTCACTGCACACCTACTATGTGACAAGCGCTGTGCTTGGAGCTGGGTATGTGCTGTCCTACTATGTGACAAGCGCTGTGCTTGGAGCTGGGTATGTGCTGTCCTACTATGTGACAAGCACTGTGCTTGGAGCTGGGTATGTGCTGTCCTACTATGTGACAAGCGCTGTGCTTGGAGCTGGGTATGTGCTGTCCTACTATGTGACAAGTGCTGTGCTTGGAGCTGGGTATGTGCTGTCCTACTATGTGACAAGCGCTGTGCTTGGAGCTGGGTATGTGCTGTGAACAAGATAAGCCAGCAGCCTGCTCTTGCTCAGATCAAATCCCAGCAGAGGGAGAAAGACAACAGTATTCAAATCGATAAGCACAACTGCTGTAGAGTTTGATGGGTGGCGTTAAGTGAACAAAGAGGACGATGAGCTACATGGGGGTCACTTTAAACAGGTGTCAGGAAGGACCTCTTCAGGGAGATGACAGCTGAGCTTCAACCTAAAGGATGTGTGCTACACTGCCTTCCATCCCATCTATGTTGATGACAAGAGCTTGACATTTGGGGGTACCCTTGCACATTCTCAGCATCCTGGATCACGTCAATATCAACACACTTTCCTTTTCCCTAAATACATACCCCAAGCCAACACTATGGCACAGACCTCTTCAATTCCAACAGAAGTCCACCTTCCTGGGAGGTAAGGGGAATCTATGGTTCAGTCCAGACCTCTACCGTGAATCGTCTTCACTGGGCAGTGGACACGGTGGTTTCTGCCTGCTGCAGCATCCTGGGACGAGGGCACTCTACGGTTCCTTGGAAGAACTCTCCTTTCCCGATTCTGAAGTCATGCAAAGTTGGTAGCTGATCCTAACTCCCGGCTCTAGGAGTGGCCAAGTGGAAACACCGCATCCCGCTGATTGCGGTGATGTGTCAGGAGTGGCCATGTGACCCAATATGAGCGAATCAAAGCCCTGGGCCTCAGCCCCGGCACGTTTGCTGGCACCGTCGGGGATTGCTCCGGTGGCAGAATGGAAGTCTAGAAGTGCCGGGGTCCCCAGACTGAGAGCAGAAAGCAGTATCGATAAAGCAGGCTGCCCCCGGCCTCTTCAGTTATGTCAGCCCTCAAATGCCTCATTTTCAACGAAAAGACCACCACCTGGAAATGCACCCTGGCATCTCCATCTGTGTCTGGGTCTCTTCTTCCTCGGGGAGCCCCCGCACCCACTGCTGTCCAGGGGCCACCCTTCTCCAGCCTCGTGCTCATCTCCAAGCCACAGGGTCTCCGGACACTAGCTCGGAACTCAGAGATCTGGACTTGGCAGACACTGGCTCTGCCTAGCACCCCGTCACGTGCGACTGAACTGAGACCCACGGCATTCCCCTCACCTTGACCACATGCCCACAAAATGCCGGGGGGTGCTGGGAGCCAGACGTGGTGGGCCTGCACCAGGAATAATGCCCAGTCGCCACCCAGAGCTGACCCAGAGAAGAGCCACCAATGCTGCCACTGGCACGGACATGGCCCGGTTCCGGAGCCCGAATCTGGGCCCTGGGTGTTGTTACCAAGAACCACTTCCCCTCTCGCCCTGGGAGCAGAGGGAGCTGATCACGATGGCCCGTGTCCTCGCCACTGACGTCTGCCCCGAGACCCTGGGGGAGTGTGGCGAGTGCCAGGCTGAGCTGTGTGCCCGGCCTTGCTGGAGGGAGGCTGAGAAAAGTACCGCGTTTACGTCTGTACGGCAGGAGCTGGGCTGTCGCTTACACAAAGGAAGGGATTCAGAGGCCAAGTGGCTTAAAAGCATGATGACAACCCCCTAGAACACACACACGGAAAGCGAAGGGGGAACGCGTAGTTAGGACAAAGAGCTTTGGGGTGAGCACGGTCTTAGCGCCGGAGATGCTCATCTTCAGTGCCTGCACCTCAGATCCCTGCAGGTCGGAAAGCTACCCTAACCCAGCTCAGCTGACAAAGAGTCTTATTTCCCCTCCTGGCTCCTCCCTGGAAGAAGACTGTCCTCCAATGCACTGCAGTCCCGTGTTCAATGTTGCCCGCGGCCCGAGTGGCGCTTCCATTCCCGTGGAAGCTGGTCCTGCACAGGAGCTGGGTTCCGATGCCGGGTCGGGGGGAAGCGCGCGTGAGCCGTTACCCACAGCCCCTGCTCTAGGTTAAGCACGACAGGAAGTCACTGGCTTGAATTTGGGGGCCGTGTCATACAGAAGATAACGTGTCCCTGCCAACACCAGAATTACATTCAGCACCAACATGTTCGCACCACGACAGTGGAGGGGGAAACCGAGGTGATTAGAAGCTTCCCAAGTCCTGTCTCACGCTCACACAGTCACACGGTCACACGGTCACACGGTCACTGGGGACAAGCATGGGCAGAACGACCACACTGCGTAGAGTTCACATTAGCATCGTTCTCTCCGTTCCTATTTCTTCACTGAGATCACCTGAGTCACCTCTTTCTGACCTTCGTCCCCCCTACATCAGGAGTAAAAGGGTGCATGGGGACTCTATGTAGTCAGGACAAGACCGTCCATCCCGACTGGACTTCGTATCACCGCTTCAAGGAGCGACAAAGAGCCCAGGACTTCGCAGGCTCTGGCAAGGGCCTGCCCCCACCCGCCTCCCCACCGCACCCACGGACACCTCCCTGTCTGCCGGGGGACCATCAGGCTGAGCCCTTACGCCTTTCACGCCCACGCCCTTCGCTGCTTTACGAGCTCCAGGCCTCCGCGGTCACCCCCCTTTGAACCCTACTCCCAAGCTGTCTGCAGAGTGATGGGCAGCCCAGCACCCCACACACCCGCCCCCTCCACTGCTTGACGGACTATGTCTTGATTTACGGATCTGTCTCCCACCAACAGAATATCCGTTCTACAAAGGCAGGTGGTTTCACCTATTTTTTTCATAGCTGTATCCCCACCACCTACAGCAGTGCTTAGTGCATAGCAGGCTTTTGATAAATGTTTGTCAAGTGAATGAATGAAATGGAGTTCTATGGCTCATCATGGCCTTCCAAATAGACCCCAACCCGTGCCAAGTGCCTTCAGAAGCCCCGTGCCTCTGCCAGCCCATCTTGCACACAAAGCAGCCGGCCAGCCCGGTGCACGCTGCCGGCATCGTGTGCTGTGAGAATTGCACACCCCGGACTGGCTGACAAACAGCAGCCTCAGGCTCGACAGCCTGCCTGCATGAAATATAAAATGGTGTGACTCATACAGCTGTGATCATACACCTGCTCCTCCAAAAATGGGCAAATGCCAAGTCCCTCACTTAATCCTGTCTTTCAGGACAAGCTACTCAGAATCCATTTCTAAATTGTGATTACATAGCAAAACAACACAATTTGTTTCATAATAATATGATCTATTCTATTCTGCCAGCCAAGATCCTTTGCTTGATCCCCCAAATGTGGGGTCCAGGGGCAAGAGAAAGCAGTGCTGGGCCCCACTGGCGAGCCTCCTCCTCAGAGCAAACGGTCTCGGGTCTGAGGCTCCAAACCCTCACGGGCGGTGGTGCCCAGCGAGGTCTTCATCGTCACAGAGCTGCCCAAACCTTGCCAGGGCAGTGGGCGATGCTGCCTGGTAGAACACATGCCCAAGTTAGCGCTGGAGGGTTCCTCCCCCACCCCGGAGTCTAATTTTAAAAGCAGTTAAAGAAAGAGCCGGCGGGGGGAGCAAAGGAAGATGAGGGGAGGGGAGCAACGCACTGTCCACGTACCGGTAAATGACGCCCTTGCTCTGTAAGAAGAACAGGCCGATGGCAATTTCTGCAGCGTAAAATCTGGAAAAAAACAAAAGCCATGGAGAAACTCAAGGACACCATATACTCGGCAATTCTTGGTATTCAATACAATATTGACTGGGCGTAGGGCATCAAGGCCCCACCATGGATGCTCGGCCACCCCCCCCCCATAACAAAGTTTGGGAGTGTGGATGGACCAGCAGGGCTCAGGGAGCCATGGGGCTGTCTCCAGGACAAGTTGGGGTGGGAAGAGGTTCAGCAGTTGCTCAGCAGGGAGGAGGCCATGGGATATGATGGACTAAATGAAGAACAATTATTTCAGAATACAGTCTGTTAAAATATCTTGATAATAGCAGCTAATAGCTGTTGAAGGCTGGCTATCTACCTAACATCATTCTGGGTTATTATCTGATTTAATCTTAATCTTAATCCTAGGAGGTGGGTCCTACTATACTTCCCTGCTCCTTAAATGAGGAAACTGAGGCTTAGTGACATGAAATAACTTGGCCAAGTTATATAACAAATGAATGACACAGCCAGGATGGGAAGGGTTGGGAGAGAATCAGAAAGCCAGAGATGCCGCAGGGCTGGGCAGGGCTTTGGGCACCTTGTTACGTGTCCTGATAATATACATCGTGTGTATGTGACAACAGAATTAAGGCCTGTAGTCTATTAACTGTTGGAAGTTAAAGAAGAGAGACAACCCTGTGGTCACATTACATGGTGCCAGGACATACGAACGGCAAGGTCTGGAAGCATGAGAATGCAAACCCTCTGGGAAGACAGTGATCACGACCTGGGCAGGTGGGAGGGCGGGGCGGGGCGGGGCTGAGACAGGACAGGGCCCTGGTGAGTCCTGGGGGTCTGCTAAAGGACAATAACATTTTAGCAAACGCCCTAGGTGAGGCTGTCATCCCTCATCCTAGGACTCGCCACACTCCTGTTCACCAACAGCAGGGGAGAAACAGGATGACCTTGTGTCTTAAAAGAAGAGACGACCGCCTCATAGACTGAAGGGGACAGAATGGGTTCAGCCGGGGAAACACACTCCCCAAATCCGTCTCCCTACCCGAGGAGACAGCACAGCCATCTGCAGCCCCGTCCTCCATCCCCGGGAGGGGCGCGTGGGGCAGTGGTGAAGAAGGAGGACATGAACAAAGCTTTGGGTCCGGGTTCTGGATCTGCCTCACACTAGCTCTGAGATCTTGAGCAAGTTGCAAAAAACTGTCTGGGCCGAGTGCATAGTGAGCGCTCAATCAATATTGACAAATGAATGGACGAAACTCACAAGGACATTCCCCCAGGAAGCTGTAGGCCTTTCCTTAGGGGGCAGGAGAAAGAACAGAGATACAGAAACAGCTGTGGTTTCCACGTGCCAAATTCTTAGCTGGTGTCAGGAAAGAAGGAAGCACCCTACATCAGCAGAGCGCTTCTCCCCTGGCCACACCTTCCTCTCGAAGAAGCCACAGTGTTTAAAATCCCAATTCAGCTACAAATCCAAAGCAGCTAACAACCCAGCCAGTGTCCCAGGGGCTCGCGCGGCGAGGTTCTCACTTACACGGCGTGAGGCTCCTTAAACCGGCCGACCTGCTGGATGTGGTACATGAGATCGCCGCCGTTCACGTACTCCATCACAAAGTACAGGCGGTCCTGCAGGAAGACAGCACATGGCACGTCAACACCTGCCGTTTCTCGCACTCCAGACAGACAGCGGGGAACAGCTGGGTTTACGGCTGAAGCCACAGAACTCTGCCCCCGGCCTCTGCGTGGCCGCTGCTTCCCCGCCAGCCGTGTCTGTGCTGTGGAAACAGGCAGGTGAGCACAGTGGTATGAGTCTTCTTTTTAATTAATAACTAAGTTTATATTAATTTGTACTGAAAAATAATTAGCATGTGAGTTTTGGGACTTAATAATATTATTATTTAGGATAAACCTAATTTTAGCAAAAAGTGGAAAATATTAAGTAAATCATGTAATAGTTAGTAGGTGGCCTATAGAGGCCTTCTCCCCACCCGTGGTTTTCACATCTTTGTACGTCCTTCCCACAACGAATAGGACTGACCTGGTAACCAATGAGATACAGTAAAAATGACAGTGACTGACTTCCAAGACTGGGGCATAAAAGAGATGCCAGTTTTCACTTTGCTCTCTGCAAAGTCACTTGCTCTGGAGGAAGCCCCACACGGTGCCATGGGTCCCTGGAGCAGCACTGTGGACAGCCAGCACCCTCCCAGTCACGTGAGTGAGCCACCTTCCGGCCCCAGTCAGACCTTCAGATGACGGCAACCCCAGCTGGAAACTGGATGACAATTTTTTACATTATACAATTTGTATTGTGTGCTCACCACCCATAGTCTGTCTAGTCTTCTTCCATCATCATGTATTTGACGCCTCTTCATCCTCCCCCCAACCCCTTCCCCTCTGGGAACTATGATACTGTTATCTAGGTCTATGAGTTTGTTTTGTTTCTTCATTTATTGCTGCTTTTTTAATATCCCTCATGAGTGAAATCATATGGTTATTGTCCTTTCCTGTCTGACTTATTTCATTTAGCATGATAAAGACCTAAATGCAAGGCCTGAAACAATAAAATGTGGAAGAAAACATAGGTACTAAACTTATGGACCTTGGTCTCAAAGAGGGTTTTATGAATTTGACTTCAAAGGCAAGGAAAGTAAAAGCAAAAATAAATGAATGAATGGTATTACATCAAATTAAAAAGCTTCTGCACTGCCCAGCTGGTGTGTCTCAGTGGACTGAGCATTTTCCCATGGACTGAGAGGTTCTGGTTGGATTCCCGTCAGGGCACATGCCTGGGTTGCAGGCTCAATCCCCAGTAGGGGGCATGCAAGAGGCAGCCGATCAATGTTTCTCTGTCACATCAATGTTTCTATCTTTCTCTCCCTTCTTCTCTCTCTAAAAAATCAATAAAAATGTATTTTAAAAAATAAAGCTTCTGCATAGCAAAAGATATCATCAACAAAACAAAAAGGCAACCAACCGAATGGGAGAAGCTATTTGCAAACAATAACTCTGATAAGGAGCCAATATCTAAAATATATAAAGAACCCATACAACTCAACAAAAACAAAAACAAACAATCCAATTAAAAATGGGCAGAGGACCTAAACAGACATTTTTCCCAAGAAGATATACAACTTTCATTTGAGACCCAAGGCTAGAACCACCCAAGGAAGCCACTCCTGAGCTCCCAGCCCACAGAAACTGTGAGGTAATAAATGTTTACTGTTGTTTTAAGGCACTGAGTTTTCAGGTGCTCAGTAATAAATAATACAGTGACTACTGGGGCGAGGGGGAATGAATGATTAAAGTTTGAAAAATAGTGGCCTAGGAGGGCATATCCAGAAGTAAAAGAATTTGAACCAGAAAAAGAAATCTATACCCCACACAGGGAAATTTTTCCAGGGAGATATGAACTCCTTGGAGTCACAGTGTCCAGCTCAGCTGTGTAAGCCCCATTCCTGTGCCATGACCAGCACATAGTAGGTGCCCAGAGTGTGGTGCCAAAGAGACTTTATTTGGAACCCAGCTCTGCTCCCTGGTGGCGGGGTGTAACTGCAGAAGTTATCTAACACCTGAGTCTCCTTATCTGGGAAACAGAGATAATAACCGAGTCCCAGTGTTGTTGCTGGATCTGATGAGACAGGTCCTTGGGCAGCGCCGCCATGAGATCTGCCTTCTCACCGGCTACCTAGGGTGTTTGCTAAGTGAAGGAACGACTCCACCTCTTCTTAGAGACTTCCACTAGGGTCAAAGCAAGCCTCTAGATCACACGATCGACTTAATAAAAAGGAGTGGAAATGATGAGTGCTCTACAGAGTACTAGTTGTGAAATGTAAGTTCAGGTTATATTTATATGTCAGTATGGCTGGGTCGCAATGTAAAAGGTTTGCTGTTAAAAGTTGCAAGTGCGGGGCGGGGCTCCAAGACCAGGAGCAGGGGGCGTGGAGAAGCCGAGGGCGGGGCGGGGCTCCAAGACCAGCAGCAGGGGGCGTGGAGAAGCCGAGGGCGGGGCAGGGCTCCAAGACCAGGAGCAGGGGGCGTGGAGAAGCCGAGGGCGGGGCGGGGCTCCATGACCAGCAGCAGGGGGCGTGGAGAAGCCGAGGGCGGGGCGGGGCTCCAAGACCAGCAGCAGGGGGCGTGGAGAAGCCGAGGGCGGGGCGGGGCTCCATGACCAGCAGCAGGGGGCGTGGAGAAGCCGAGGGCGGGGCGGGGCTCCAAGACCAGGAGCAGGGGGCGTGGAGAAGCCGAGGGCGGGGCGGGGCTCCAAGACTAGGAGCAGGGGGCGTGGAGAAGCCGAGGGCGGGGCGGGGCTCCAAGACCAGGAGCAGGGGGCGTGGAGAAGCCGAGGGCGGGGCGGGGCTCCAAGACCAGGAGCAGGGGGCGTGGAGAAGCCGAGGGCGGGGCGGGGCTCCAAGACCAGGAGCAGGAGGCGTGGGGAAGCCGAGGGCGGGGCGGGGCTTCATGACCAGCAGCAGGGGGCGTGGAGAAGCCGAGGGCGGGGCGGGGCTCCAAGTCCAGGAGCAGGGGGGGTGGGGAAGCCGAGGGCGGGGCGGGGCTCCAAGACCAGGAGCAGGGGGCGTGGGGAAGCCGAGGGCGGGGCGGGGCTCCATGACCAGCAGCAGGGGCGTGGAGAAGCCGAGGGCGGGGCGGGGCTCCAAGTCCAGGAGCAGGGGGGGTGGGGAAGCCGAGGGCGGGGCGGGGCTCCAAGACCAGGAGCAGGGGGCGTGGAGAAGCCGAGGGCGGGGCGGGATTACAAAACCAGGAGCATAGAGTTTACAATGCATATATAACAGTGGTATGAACACTTGACAAGTGTGTATTGAGCGTCTAATAATTAGAATGACAGCAAACAGGAAGTAAAGCTCCCATTGTGTGAGCACTTACTATGTGATTGAGCTAAGTGCTTTATACATTTGGTCTCACTTATCTTTCTCAACAACTGAGCATGGCCAGTATGACCATTCTCCCACCCCACCCTCTTTTTTAAATCCTCACCCAAAGATATATTTTTAGTGATTTTAGAGAGAGAGAGAAAAGGAAGGGGTAGAGAGAGAGAGAGAAACATCGATGGGATAGAGAGACATCAATTGGTTGCCTCTGTATGCACCTGACCGGGGATCAAACCCAGAACCTTTTGGTGTACAGGACAACGCTCCAATCAACGCTCATCCTCCCCCTTTGCAGACACAAATGTTGAAGTTCAGAAAAAGTAAATAACCCGCCAATGGTCATTCAGCAGTTAAGTTGCAGATTCAGGATTTGAACCCAGGCAGGTCGGTCCCAGAGTTTATAGTTGCAATCTCTTAGTAGGTGCCTCCTGTGTAAGGTTCTGAGCTAGACATTGTATGCGTGTGTGGGTATGTTCTCCCTCTGAGGGTGTCCAGTCCAGGGTGAGAGAAGTCACATAGAGAAGCTGGCAGGTCACAGGGGAGCAGTACCGGATAATCAATTATTTTTGAAATGTCAAAGGACTCTCAGACCAGTACTACTTTACCCTCTCAACATCTTCAATGAGAGGCAAACAGGGAGGCAGAATGATCACTTCTGTTCCCAGCATCCATATGAGATTTGCAAAAAGGTCACATACAAGTAGCAGTGGAATGGACACCATCAGCCAGAACTGCTGACACCCAGACCTGATTCTTCGGGGGGTGGGGGGATTGATAGATAATAAGCCTAAAAATAGCATTTGTCTTTGCTGCATGTTGATAGAACCAAAACACTTGCTTTTTAAAATTATTTTTAAAACTAGCAGATGGCATTGGCCACAGAGAAAGAAGTGAGGGAGAGATTTCACTTGCTTGCTTTCTGTTGGAAGAACTCAACTTGCTCCCTAAACTCATTAGTCAGAAGCCCAACATCGAGGGAGAGCTCCTCTGTGGGGAATGCCACGTTCTGTGGTCCTGTTCTCCCACCGAGCAGCTGCGGGGAAACCCTGAGGCCCATCACCTGTGGCCCTCACGGAGTCTGGCTTTGGCACACCTGGGCTCCAGCTATCACACATCATGGCTGGCACCTCGCTATCCTCTCATTTTCTGAACAAACTCGATGATGCTCACTCTGTCAGACACTTTTCCACTGCCAGGGATGCTGCTGTGGATCTGCATGCCCGATGTGAGGGGTTCCCAGACTAGTGGGGAGACTAGACACATTTCCCAAGAGCAACTTCTCCCCACACAGGGTGGGAAATAGTTTCAGCTGGGCTATGGACACACACGCCATTACCTTTATAGTTTTGTGTTTATTTTAATGTTATTGTGAAAAATAGAACAGGCACTTGAAGCCCCAGTGTTTGGTTGTTGCTGAGGGAGACTGGGGGCACCAAGCTACAGAAGAGAAGGGAGAAAGGCAGGGGGAGACCAGAGACGAACTGGATGAGGCCTCCACCCACACGCGCTGCCTCCCACTCGGGCGTCAAGGTCTCGTCGTGTCTCTGCCTCAACCACGACGAGTTACCGTTTTTAAATATTTTTATTAACTTGCTTTTTTAAACCCTTAAACACAATTATTGAAAAGTTTTAAAACTTCATATCAAAGTCATAAATGGAAATGTGTTGTTTCTATAAAAAATAAACACATGCCTGCAGCCTCTCAGCTCCATGCTATATCCAGCCTGGCTCTGGAAC